GCAGGTAAAAACATCGTCTCCCTGTGCCACTCCAGTAAATACCTGACTCCTCATGCTATGCTCTATCTTTACAAGAGTCAAATCAGGCCTAAAATTGAGTACTGTTGCCATATTTGGGCGGGAGCTTCCCATTCTTCACTTTCAAGTCTTGATAGAATTCAAAAGCGTCTCCGAGTTCTTGTGGGAGAATAATTATTTTCCTCCGTCCAACATCTCTGTCACAGGCGCTATATGGCGAGTCTCTCACAACTCTATCGATAGTTCTATAGAATGTGCTCGGACTAGGTACATTCCTTGATCTTGTCAGATCTAATCTACACGGCTAGGACCCTCCATGCCGTTTTAAATAATAGCAAACCACCCACATTCACCCCTTATTCCATCGCCGAGTAGTAAGTTACACTTAAACAGCTTCTTCCCGCTAACCACTGGCCTATGGAAAAGACTCCCAAGAGGATGTTCCCTTGATCACTACAGTCTTAATCTGTACAAGTCTAGAGTTATCGGTTAGTTTCCTCTCCTATGCGTATAAACTACCCCTTAACGTAAACATCTACGTCAAGTGGATTCAGGGCCTTATACAGCGTGAGCGTTACTGTAAAAAAAGAGGTTACTGAGTTTGAAGTTGTTGGAATTTTGGGGTACCCTAGTGAGCCAGCCAAAGTGAGCTCACTCATTTTATAATTCACCAATAGAAGGATTAACCAATCAGAAAGCTCAAAATATTCAATGCATGCGACGTGTATAAAGGCGGCCATGTTTTTTTCCGAATATGCACTGCCAGCCTTTGATATGGAACACTGAAGAATTACGGAACAGCTGCTGGTGGTATTGGCGATATAGTTAGATTCAGTAGAGTGTCTGTCTCGTGAGTGTTAATCTTTAACATTGTTTCATTGAACAGATTACGTACTGCGCTGTATTTTATATTCACAGACAATAGTGAACATGGTCAACAGAAGTGAATATGAAGAAAGCCCTGGTGAATAATGAGAGTGTATTCTTTTTTTAAATTCTTGACGAAGGCACCAATCGCCTAAAGAAGTAATAACTTGATAGCAAACAAAATAATGTAAACGAATTTGCCCTTGCGATGCTGGGTAGCACTGCTAGTATAAATGTAAAACAATATGAAATGTTTCAGGATTTGTAAAGAATTTTTCGTTGTTGTTTTATTTCGTTTAGTTGCATGCAGACAGGAATCCAAAAGTGATGTGAAAAATACAAAATTAGAACTTTATTTTTTAAAGAAAGATTCACCTATATATTATCTGATCATTGCAAAAGTACTTACCCGATTAGAAAATTAAATTTTACATACAAAAAAAAAATGAGTAAATACATTTATTCGTCAATTGCAAAGTCTCTATTGTTTTTAGCAACTGTTTTCCATCGTTCTACAAGCTTGTTTGTGCAAGTTTTCTTTTTTTTTTTATTGGAAAAGTGTTGGGAGGCAGGTTTCGATTTTCTAGGGAGAATACGTTGTATCTGGGAGGGTTTACCATTTCAAATGTTTTAGTTCCTGCAAGGTTTGTTTTGTCGCATGTGGTCCTGTGCTGTCGGGGGAGGTGAATGAAATTTTTACGATTTGCCAAAATCGGCAGTTTTTTTTCCTTGAATCCAAGTCTCTTCAAATGGCAAAACCCTTAGCAATCTCTTCCGTCAAAATCTTCCATTTATTCTCCACAATTTAAACCAGAGCATCTTGATCAACGTCAGAACATCGCCCGGAGCCTGATTGATCGTTCAAATCACCCTGACGAAATCTGCCAGACCACATTTTGACCCTTCAAAGTCCTATAGGATTGGTTTGCTTTGGTTTGTTTTACGGCATATCAAGTTCAATGCCGACAAAATTTTTATTTCTGGTAATATTTTTCCTTCAAAAATGTATAGCTTGTAATAACTTTTTTTTTTCAAAAATGTATTGCTGGTAATAACTTTTTTTTTACTAAGGATTTCTGGTATTAAAACCTATCTTAACATTTATATAGTCTTTTGACACCAGTTTGAGGGGTAAACTATTTACCCATAGTTGGAATCATAACAGGTGCTACCACCACGGGTCAGGGTGGACCTGGGAACACAAGCAATTAAGAGGTGGTTCCATGCTCATCAAAACCTCCTGATCAGAGGTCTTGCATTTGGACCTAGTTTATCGTCTTACCCAGGACGCGGATGCAGTTTATCGTCATACCCAGGATGCGGATGCAGTTTATCGTCATACCCAGGACGCGGATGCAGTTTATCGTCTTACCCAGGACGCGGATGCAGTTTATCGTCATACCCAGGATGCGGATGCAGTTTATCGTCTTACCCAGGACGCGGATGCAGTTTATCGTCTTACCCAGGACGCGGATGCAGTTTATCGTCATACCCAGGACGCGGATGCAGTTTATCGTCATACCCAGGACAGCCTGGACGATAATTCAAATGAACCTTCTTATTTTTTGGTTGAAGTTGCGAGGCTTTTTACGATAAAATTTCCTTCCTCCAACTTTAAGGAGTTCATTTTTTTAAACAAAACGTCAACATCTGACGCGCAACTGGTTTGGATCTTGAACACCAGAAATCAGTACTAAAACAAACGCCAATGTCAAGTTGCAGTCATTTTTATGTTACCTCGGAGAATCGGAGACGTATCTTTACAATGATGAGATATGGTCATAATAAATAAATAATTATATGATTATGTTTTGTTTTTTTTTCCAAGAATAGATTCAGTAACTTTTAATATTGCTTCTAAAATAAACTGTAAATAGACGGAGATATTTACAATATTAATTTGATTAAAGTTTTAAGACAAAATTCTTTCTTTAATGATAAAATTATCCAACACGCTTAAACAGTTTCAGATTAGATAATTTCAGGTTATAACGCCAAAAGATAGAACAAAATTAAAATTTCGTTGACGTCGAAAATTTGCATTTTTCTATTTTTACCTGTAACGTATTTTCATATAGATAGAATATCCGTGAATAAATTCAATAGATTTATCTTACAGATCTCTGTCTGCTGCGCTAATTTGTTAGAGAACATAACATATGGAAAAGTTTTCGTGGAGAAAAAAAGTATAAGGACTAGTGCCGTTTTGAGAGATGTGTGAAATACGTAAATCGAACGATTTCAGATTAGACGAAGTCACGTTATAATGTCTTAAAAATAGAAGAATTTAACATTTTACTTGACGTAAATAAGTAAACATTTTTCTATTTTTTCTTTCAGCAACGTATTTTAATAAAGATGTGAAATAATAATAATATTAATAAATCCAATGGACTTATCTTATAATACTCTGTCTCTAACTAGGAAGATTAGTCGTTGAATAGTATATATATATATATATATATATATATATATATATATATATATATATATATGTAAAGAGAGAGAGATGGAGAGAAAGAGAGCGATGTCAAAGTTAGCATGAAGCCAAAAGGATGACTGTCAGTGGGATACAGAGAGAAAAGTCACTCAAGGCAATGAGTTATTGCAGTAATAAGATAGAGCATTAAATTGCTGATAACCCCTGAAGAGTGGATGGACAGATCACACTACGAAACTCTGGAGTCGGTAACATCAATCAGCTAAATGACAAACTTTTTACTTATATTAATCCTCTCTCTTCTTCTTCTTCTCTCTCTCTCTCTCTCTCTCTCTCTCTCTCTCTCTCTCTCTCTCTATATATATATATATATATATATATATATATATATATTTATTCGAAAATTATAATATAAATATGCTATAAAGATCACTACAAAAATAGCCATTTTGTTTCAAAACTTCTGGTGTCTTATCAAGAACACCATCACTTGATAAGACACCAGAAGTGTTGAAACAAAATGGCTATTTTTGTAGTGATTTTATAACATATTTGTTACAGTTTTTGATTGAATAATTGTATTTGCTCTACTCTGTATTGAGAACTCTTAAGAATTGTATTTGTTGGTTACTGGGATTTATTCCGTATACACCAATCCAACACTTGGATATATATATATATATATATATATATATATATATATATATATATATATATATATATATATAAGACTCTCTTAAAAATGTTTCGTTAAATATGACAAATAAGGAAAAAATAAATAATTTAATTTACTTTTTTTGCATTCTTACACGTTTTTCCATTTGCTGGGAGTGTAAAAATTGTCCGTCCATAATTGTTCCAAGCGCTTTCGGACATTTTCAAGGGGCTTCATTTTAGGTGCTGTTAATTTCCCGTTTTGACAGTTTAAGATTATCCATGAGCCTTCGCGTGTTGGACGTGGCTGGAATTTGAGTGAGCGAATTTCTATTTTTAAGAAGGCTTTCAACACATAATTTGCAGTGTTAAATAAAGTGAGATTGATAGTTGGAAAGTGATGCTCAATGTACAGGCCCTATCTTATAGCGAGATGTTTCCGGTAATGTGATTTATATAGAATGTTAGTTTTTTCGACCAGAATTTTTCTTAGCGGTCCTTGTAAATTTTAGGTAGATGTTTTGTTTTGTTTTATTTATGTATATAGCACTTTGCTCTGATAAGTGACATGTGTGGCGTCTACTCAAGGAGGTGGCTGTATGTCCAATATAGATTACTGAGAAAAAACTTTCTTGTACAGGTCATTGAAATTGATACACTGTATTGATTATCTCTAGTGTAGATTTGATGGTGTTATTTTAGTGAGAACAAGGTCTGCGGTTTTCCATTTTCTGTAATAGAGTATAAGTTTTGTTTTTCGGGAATTACGGTCGAGATATTTTGTTTAATGACTCTTCGTATAGCGAATTCGTCCTGCTTATATTATAGTGAATCTGGTTGAATTAAAATATGTTGATGTGTTTGTTTGGTGGCATTTTTATTACTGGTGTCGTGTATTTTTTGTAAGAATAATTTTATTTGTGTATGTAGTTTGGGAAAATATTCTCAACTAATGTTTGTTTTATGCGTTTTAGTTCACTCAAATATTCATTGGGAAGTGCAATTTAGGTGAGAAATTTAGGTGAGTTGATTTTTCTTTTTCTTTATCTATCTATCTATCTATCTATCTATCTATCTATTCCAGTTTATTCAAATTTATCTATCTATCTATCTATGTCTCTCTCTCTCTCTCTATATATATATATATATATATATATATATATATATAAAGAAAGAACAGCCAGATATATAATCCGGTGTTCTTATAGATATTTTATTTTTACAAAATAGTGCTCAATGTAAATTTACAGAGCATTAATATGATAAATTAATTGATTTAAAATATGTTCTTTTCGCTACACAGTTCTAACCATGTTTCAAAATGGAAGCTAAAAAGCCACGAATTTAATTTTGTGATTAAATTAAAGACATTAGTTCCATTTCATCCTCAAGCGAATTCGTGGCGTTTAGCTTCCATTTTTTAAACATGGTTAGAACTGTGTAGCTTGAAAAAACATATTTTAAATCAATTAATTTATAATATATATATATATATATATATATATATATATATATATATATATATATATATATATATATATCGTCCGGTAATATCTATCTATTTATCTACTTATCTATCTAGCTCTCTATCTTGTCCAGTAATTTCTATCTATCTATCTAGCTAGCTCGTCTGGTAATTTCTATCTATCAATCTAGCTAGCTAGCTTGCATATCTATTCCATTCTGTTCAAAATCTCTCTATTCTAGTCCGTTCAAATCTATCTATGTATCTAGTGTTTTTTTTTATATACTGGTAGGTGGTACTTTGTATTTTAGTTCTAAATCGACATCATGAAATGGTAGTTTGTTATTAATGATGCGTTCGTATCTAAATATTAGTGGTGAGTATTTTCCGGCATCGAGTACAATCTCGCCATTTACATTATCAAGTTGAGAAAAGAGACTGTTTGTCAACAAAACGTTCCCTTCTTTTACGCGAACATTAATCTTTTCAGCTCAACTGTTTCTGGTATATTTTTCAGTGATCTTTATCAAATTTATTTTTCTTTATCTATCTATCTATCTATCTATCTATCTATCTATCTATATAAATTCCAGTTTTTTCAAATCTATCTATCTATTTATCTATCTATCTATCTCGACTGGTAATTCCTATCTATCTATCTATCTATCTATCTATCTATCTATCTATCTCTCTCTCTCTCTCTCTCTCTCTCTCTCTCTCTCTCTCTCTGTATATATATATATATATATATATATATATATATATATATATATATATATACATTTAAAACGCAAGGTGTTTCATGTGTGCTTGTTATAACATGTATATTTATTTCGCCGGTTAACATTTGAAGAAAAAAGAGTGAACAAAATGATATAAATATTATCAATACAATTGATGCTTATTATATATTAACCCTTTGCCTGAATTAAATAGTCTACCACTTCTATTTCGTGTCTAGAGGTACTGATACGTCTAAATAATAACCAAATATCCGCTACACTATACACCAAATCCATAGATGGTCATTGCTATATAAATTTCAATAGGTGTAACCCCAACAATCTAAAAATAATCAATAATTTACAGCCAATGGTTACACATAAAACGTACCTTTTCAAAAAATGAGTATTACAAAAAACACATAGGACACCTATCCAATTACTTTCTCAATAAGAATTACCCAGTTAAAAATGTCAAAATATCAATTACTAAGACTTCCAAACAAAATAGAAATCCTCTTATAATCTATGAAACAACAAATAATAATTCCAGCATTCAGAACATTTTTTTTGTTTATTTTAAATACAACATTCACAATCTTTCCCATATCATTACAAAAGATTTCCAGTATTTAAAACTCGGCCAAACAATTGGAAAAATATTCAGCGAAAACCCTCTTTAGGCTAAGCGTGAGCACACCAGTCTGTACACACTCTTAACACACCCCCTGCGATCAGATGTGGCACAAGGGCGTATTTAAATTGTAGGCTCGGCCAAAAATTACATTTAGGCCCCGTATAAAACGGGGTCAGGTAACTGTTTCCCGATACGAGACTCTTCTCTACGACATAGACTCATCTGGGGATCCTCTCTGCCCGAAGGCAGAGAGTTTGACCAGCCGGGCTACACACTCTTAACATCATCTGATATAGATCATTCTCCACCTCACCAAGGGAATATGACCTGCAGTAAAACCCGATGCCAAGTTTGTAGACATATCATCGCAATTTAACACCCACCTGGCATATATATATATATATATATATATATATATATATATATATATATATATATATATATATATATATATATATATATATATATATATATATATATAGGGAGAGGGAGAGGGGGTGTGTGTGCGTGTGTATGACGGACTAGATATTTATTTCAGTTAATTTAAGATAAGTGCACCGTTTTTCTCTCACCCTGGCACATATATATATATCTATATCTATATCTATCTATCTATCTATCTATCTATCTATCTATCTATATATATATATATATATATATATGAATCTTTGAGAAAACAAACGATATTAAGATTTCTGTAGATGCGTGCATGTGTTTCCACGTATGTCTCTTTGTTTCTGTGTTTGTCTGTGAATGTCGTAATATTTTGTTTGTACACTTACTTTTTGGATTGGGTTATTTAAGAATATCTATCTTCATGTATTCTCAAATTCTTACAACTGTCTTATATTCTTATATGTGTCTTATAGTCTTGCATTATGTCGAACCCTTAATTCTCATCTGTGTTGATATTGATCTAAATATCATCTAGTGTTCCTGTGTTCAATCCTTGACTCTGGTAGTGACACACCAATTCAGCATGTTGTGGATTCAGAGATGAAATTCGTTATCCAATGAATGACAAACGCAAGAATTAAATATAAGAAATTAAATGTATTTACACAATAATACAATGGGCAATACTGTTAGTAAATCCAGGAACACGGTTAGTAGCAATAATAATAATAATAATAATAATGATAATAATAATAATAATGATAATATATATATATATATATATAGTCTCTCGAAGTTGGACTTCCTTAGAGTCTACGTGCTTGTAACTGTGACTTCTTCAAGCGGTTACCTCACACTATTACTCTACCACCAACGTAAGTTAATGTATTGGATCCGACTGGATTTCGAACTCGGCTCTCTGATTCCTCAATCCCAGCAACTATCCATTTCTCCATCATGCATCCTGTTCGTATACTAACATTAGAATCAACAAAGATGAGATATCAATAATTCGAAATAATACCAGAATATTGGCAATTGCTCATCTCAAAATTGAAATATTTAATTACGAAAGGCTGTACAAAACTGCCGTCGAAACTCAATGTCAAAACGATTTGTCATTAATTAAAAAAGGCTCCCAAAATATCCCACGGCTGTCCTTTCGGGTGGTGGCGTGATGAATAGAGCAGTTGGTTATGCATGAATTCAATACTTGGATATGTTAGAGACGAACCAATTCAGCAGAAACTGATGTCAGAATAGTCAGCATGTATCCCATATCAATCAGCCAATCAATGGACACCTGATGATGACTAGAAGGTACCTGGTTGAAACGCTGTGTCTATAGTAATATCAATATCAACAAAAATTAGATCAATTGTTCAAAATAATACAAGAATATTGAAAAAATACATATGGAAGTACGAAAGAACGTTATTTGACAACTTATTCAGTTTGTATTTACTTTTTTGTTTTTCTTTCTGCTCGTTCAACGAAGATGACAACACGTTGGTCGTCCCTCGAGGAGGACAAATCGAGTCGGTGGAGGGCTTAGTCTCAATAGATCGCATTATAAATGATCCATTCATTGATACATTTGAAGTACTTGGTATACATTATTAGGACATTCTAAATTTTTATGGCGGATACACTGCAAATGCCATCAGTTCTTTCATTTCAATTCCAGACCATAATTATCGTTTTGAATAGAAGATGAAGAACTGGAAGAGGTCCAGAAGTACATACACAGAGGATAGAGAAAAACATTAAAGGAAAAAAAAAACGTGTAAATATAATAAAACGTAGTATAACCATAAAGTAGAAAGCATTCAAGAAAAATAAAGATATGATGAAAAATACTTTGCCAATAACATGAAAATCTAAAGCATGTACGGAACACGGGAGCGAAATATGTAAATTAACAAAATTCAAGAAACGTTGTGTTTAATCATTGTTCATGTATGTGGTTATGCATGAGGACATGTGAGTGAACAAGTGAGGATGAAACGAGATAAACAAAATTTTAATAAACCTTATTTTCCTCATGAAATTCTGTGTTCCATTCAAAAAGCGAAACGGGTACATGTGGCCTTAGGGCCCCACATTGCTCATGACTGCACTAAACCATTATTATTTCGAAAAATAAAATAAAATTGTGTACAAAATATTTAGATTTCGGCATTAAATAATCTGAAAATAGCTGCTATGCCGCTAAAAAATAAATAAATAAACAAATAAAAGCAACTAAATTATCTGTTAATTTATGAGTTGCATAGATTTAGATCAGGGATTCAGAACATGTGAATCGTACCCTGCTAGTGCGTCATGCGTATGATGTGCACCCCTTGACTATACCAACAGAATAAGGGTGCAATTCAAGAATGAGTTATTAACAGTGAATTGTTTTCTAGTGAGCTCAAATTTCATTTTGCATTATTTATTAATTTATGATTAAAATGTTCAAATTACAATATTTGAAGGAAAGATTATTTTGTAGAATAAGCCTTCATTCAAATATTTTTTTTATTTCTGCCTTTCGGTTCTCTATTATATATATTTAAAAAATATATATATATATATATATATATATATATATATATATATATATATATATATATCGATTCTTCCGTCGAATCCGACGTATGAGGGTCAAGCAGATCAGTTCCCAGAAAACCGACAGCCTGACAACAGCAGATGAGATTTGATTATATTGGTGAAGGTTTCGTACAGGACCATCCACACTTTTTTGAAAGGCCGAATACAGAGACCTGGTGCACCGAATGCCACAAGGTTCCCAAACGACCCTCTGCAGGTTTTGAATTCAGAGTTTTCCTTCACCTAGACCAGTTGCCATCCAAGGCTATAGAACCCAGTCTGTCCTGATATTTACCCATAGCTGTAGGGAGAAGAAGAAGATTCGCACCTTTCCCAAGGGTATTAGCACGTAAGTGAATGTAATGGATTCGACTGGAATTCGAACTATATATATATATAACTGTCTTTTTTTCAAAATTTTCTCTTTCATTGACGCCATGGTTTTTGGAAGATTGTTTAAAGACCAAGTTAATGGACCTTTAAGTGAGTTGTAGTAAAAGTTTGAATATGTAAGCATTACATATTACAGGGTGGCATCAGAATTTTAGAAATACCAAAGTGGGGCACGACCCAAAATCGGTTGGCAACCATTGATTCAGGTTGTCTGTGAAATTATAGTCTATTGACAAAAATTAATATAAATAATTTTAGGAAAGTTTGTCAAGAATTTTTATTTCGATCCACTTACTCCGAAATTAGGTAAATAAAGGGTGACCCAAAAAAACGGGAACTTTTTAACAATCCAATAATACCAAGAGTGATGGAAGAAAAATATTTTATTCATAGTAATTGAAACCTTAAAACGTGCCATTTAAGAAACAATGATGGAATTTTCATTTTAAAAAAAAATACGTCCTGTAGATGGCGTCCTCCTGTACGAATGCATTCTTGAAATCTGCTGTTGAGATTCCTCATTGACTGCTGCAACATCTCAGCTGAGATACTGTGTTTACACACCTCGACCAAGAACTCTGGATGAGTTAAAACAGAGAATTCAAGATGAAATTTAAAGTATCTTGGTTTTATTGGATTGTTAAAAAGTTCCCGTTTTTTGGGGGTCAGCCTATGCAATAAATATTAAAGAGTATTTACAAGCGGACTATCATCCTCATCCTCTTCGGCATTGTGCCTTTTGGCTTTTATCAGATGTATGTGGATCCGGCTCAATTGCAAGGAATTCTTAACTTAGCCCTTAATGCGCATGTGTAGGAGTATCTCATCTAATCCTTATTTTTGCAATGTTCGATTATTGCACATAGTGATTCCACCGAGTCCAAGTACACTCTGCCTGGAAACGGTATCGAACTTTAATTTCTATGTCAACAAATTCAGGAACCAACGTTTTAAGACCACAAGGCTATTTTCCCGTGGGAAAATTC